ATTTGTCATTCCCAGCATAGTAAATCACGTGGCCAACACCAGTCCATTTCAGCTCACTAATGCCTATCCACCATGGGTGACTCTGCTGGTATTTAAAATACCAGTGGCATAGCCTTCAGAACCAAAGAAATTCACAGGCCACCACAGTACGACAAACTGACAGACGAGTGGTGGGTTACTTACCTTAATATTTATTAAGTCAGGGTTACAACCCAACCCAGTATGGTAGTTCTTCAAATACTTAACTATTGAAATAGCAAAATAAGCAAAACAATTTGTATTTGGTTAAACAAAAAAGTTTTTAGTCAAAATTGTAGCTTTCTTCATTGTTGGTAACATAATTATATGTATATATTTGTTATTTAAGAAAAATATGCAGAATATATATATTTAGGTGTTTATAGCTAAACTAGTAAAACCTTTTGGAAAACAAATTATCAATAGGGTATACACAACAAAATGATAGATGCTCTCTGACCCAATAAGCCTTTCTTCAGTAGAAAGAAAAAAAACACACAAAACAAAAAACCATGAAGCTTATTCTAGTATTACCTAAAACACTTAAAAACTAGAACTGAAAGAGGAATGACTAGCAAAAAAATTCACGTCAAAACGCTAAAACATCAAAAACAAAAATAGGTATATTTACTATAAACTTTTATGTAAGAACATGAATGCACAAGGGAAAAGGAGATAATGTCAAATAGTAAGGAAATTTTTTGTTTCGTCAAGTTTGTTAAAATACTTTATTCATTATACATTGCTTTATTATATTTTATTTTTTATTAGATCATTTACTCTTTTGGTCTGTCCATTAAATGAAAAAATGTTTGTGCTATATAATTTATGTAGGAAAAATGTTTAGTTATAAACTTTTAAAAGTCTATCCTCTTCAGAGATGATGATTCGCAGAGATGTAACAGTTGAGGACTCTAGACTCATGGTGGGAGAAGGGATGTGTGCTGGCGGCCTGGAGGCAGGCTTGCAGGGTGAGCTCTTTGGCTGAATGATTATATATTCTTAGAAAGAATTCCTCGAAGTCAGTTTTCTCCACACAGCTCGTATACATGCGCAGGGCTGCAATTTTAATCTTCCATTTACTGCATTTCAGAGGTCCGGTGAATCCCATGGCTTCGATGAGCTTCGTGAAGGCACCCACCTTCTCCTCGACAGGCTGTGGGGAATCTTTGGTAGTAAGAAGCTTGTTTGTAGTGTGATACTTTCTACTCAGCTGTTCATCTATTCCAGCAATCTGTTCTGATCCACCACATGCCATGGACTGGCTCATCTGGGGCCACTGGGAGGTGCCAGACAGCATCCTGCCCCACTGCCCATGAATAGGAGGCACAGGTACTGATCGGCCGCATACTGGAATCCACTGGGTAATGCTAGTTTGGTTCCTAAGGACTAAGCACTAGCAACGCCATATTCCTCAGCAACCATTTCCGGGTGAAGGGTGGATTTTCGAAATCCCAGCTGCCGCTACTCCCTCACTCCTTGCCCTTTTGCCGGAGGGAGCGGCTTTCAGCACTTTTTAAATTGCAAGTTTAAAATGACCTTTATTTTTTGCTACATTTACATAGGAATTATCTTTGTCATAATGCTCAGAACCAAAGAAATAAACTCAGGAACTCTCCTCCTTTTTTTAAATCTAATTTTTTGTTTGACTATTTCTCTGATCTCATTACCTTTATTTAGTAGGGGAGAGATCTTATTAAGCTTAGATTCTTATGTTTTTAACTCAGCAGTAAATAGCAGCTTTCTCTCTGCCTTTATTTGTTCATCTAAAATAATGGAAAATAATCTTTGGCTCATGTAAGTGTTCAGAAAAGTACCTGACACAAAATAAAATTTGGTTTGGTTATCCAATCTCTATTTCTCCCCTAAAATCTGGATCCATATGTCCAATGGATTAACTGAGATCTACATTTATATGCTTCATGAGTCTCTCAAATTTAACATTTCCAAAACTTATCTGTTGGTATCCCTTTCAAACATACTCTTCTCACAGTTTTTGTATATTAGCATATTTACATCTTTCACTTGCTCAGGGCAACATCATCTTTGACCAACATCTTTCTCTTACATCATTCATCTAATCTTTCTGTGTTACATTTACCTTTTAATGACTCACAGATATCCTAGATTCACATTTCATGCCTTCCAAGTTCCATTATTGATGAATGCTTACAAGTGTTTCTTCTTATTTTGAATTTTAGTGATACATCTTGTGTATAAACCAGCTCGATGGCACTTAACAATAACAACAGCAGCATTCATTCCTTCTCTTATATTTGTTACTGAATGACATGGTTTTCTGAAATCATCAGTTTATCCATTTTGCTCTTTTTTTGAGTTGGTTCTGACCCATAGCAGCGCTGTATAGGGTTTCTATACAGTGCTAAGTTTGCAGGAGTGCTAAGCTTGCAGTTCAAACTGATGTTGCAGTCCAACACATTAAACCACAGGGCGACACCAGGACTCACAATGTATTATACATTTATATTATTAAAATCCAATAAAAACATTAATTTTTATTAACACCACATTCCACTGCTGTCAATTTTAGCTTAGTTATAAATAAATTGTTATTCAAAATACTGAAGTGGTTGCAATATGACTTCATGAAATTGATTAAATCCAGTTACCAAGCTGTACACATATTATTGTTAACATATAGAGGTAGCATGGGCCTCTATGTTGCAGGAAACACAGAGATACTCAGCATTTCTTGAACCTTGTCTAAAGTTTTAGTTCAGGATAGTTTCAACATTGGATAATGATGGATTCCTTATGATGATGTTATGTTTTTGGGAAACCTTATTCTAGATCCTTTTTGTAATAAAAGCCAAATGCTGCTAGAAAATCAATGTATTCCAGGAAATGAGAGTGTCACTGTCCAATCATATTTCAAGGACTGAGAAGATGTATAGTGCACAACTGGCACAGATATTCCACCAGTAATTAATTACATTTATTTAAGAAATAAATGGAATCCTGGTGTGGCACTGTCGGATATGCACTAGACTGATGACCACAAAGTCGGCATTTCAAACCCATAAGCTCCTCCTTGGAAGCCCTATACAGGGCCATTATGAGTCAGAACCAACTCACGGACACTTAATAGCAACAACAACATTATAAATATTTGTTATACTTTATGTACATTATTATTTAAGTGAGTACTAATTTGTTGGAAGAGAGCTCTGGTAACGTAGTGGTTACGAATCAGGCTGAGAGTAGCAAGGTCAGCAGTTCAAAACTACCAGCGGTTCCGCAGGAGAAAGATGAGGCGGTCTGCTCCAGTAAAGATTTACAGCCTCGGAAACCCTGTACAGAGTCACTATGAGTCGGAATCGACTCCACGGCACATAGCAACAACAACAACAACAATTTGTTGGAATGTTAGTATTTACTAATACTTATTCAATTGTTTGGAATCCTGGTGTGGTGCTGTGTGTTAATGTGCCAGACAGCAAAGCCATTTGAACTGAAAGGTCAGCAGTTCAAACTAACCAGCTGCTCCTTGGAAAACCCTATACAGTGTTGCTATGGGTTGGAACCGACTTGACCGCACTTGACAACAACATTCAGTTGTTTAATCATAATTACTTAATAAATGGAACTTTTTAGATTTATTTTGACTTGGAGAAATAGATATATAAATTATTGAGAAACTAAGAGAACCTGAAATCAGCTTGTTTTTATTTTTAATTTATTCTTTACTGAAATTCATTTTGTATTATTGTAACATAGGACACAGTTTTACTGAAGCTTTTACTGCTATAAAACATTTACAAAATTGAATTTGTAGTTCTGGTTCTAACCATTTCTGATTAATTCATCAACAATAGAAATTGGAAACAACATTCAAATTGAATTGGTAACAAAATATCATAAAAACTAGTGAGGTTTTGGTTTCATGATCACTTCAAAACATAGTTTTGAAATCCTTTGGATTTAGCAAAATCAAATTGAATACTATCAAATAAATCTTTTTCTTTCTTTCTTTCTTTCTTTCTTGCTTGCTTGCTTGCTTGCTTTCTCTTTTCTTCTTTCTTTTTTTTTTAATGTTTAAGTTCTTGTATATTTGTGGAGAAGTTTAAGCCTTATATCACAGATTCACTTTTACTTCACTGAATCACATGTTCTGTAAGTACTACAGCATTTGATACCCACAAAGCTTTATCAAATGTACATCTAGAAATTCTAAAGTTTTATAAGTAATTCTTAAAGTTCTTTTCTATAAGCCATTTTTCCAAAGCACATGGAATTAGAATCTGAAATTTGACTTCAATATGGGACAGCTCAGAAGCAAATGGGAATAACCCACAGAAGTGTATTTGAGTGCCCTTCCAGTAGTGGATTTGATTTATCCTTAATGAAATATGTTTTTAAAAATTAAAAATCTAAATAACACTAAAGCATTTTATATTCATTAACTCTTTTTATTTTTAATTTAAGGTTTTTATTGTGGATTGAGTGATTGAAAGTTTACAGGGCACATCAGCAGTTTCACATTCAACAATTCATATAACTTGTTTCATTACATTGATTATAATCCCCTCCATATACC